TCAAAGCGTTAGAACAATAATCACTAAAACCCATTTTTTGACCAAAAATAAAAGATAAATGATCAACACATATATTTTTAGCCATTTCTTCTTTATTTTTTTTATCGATATCTTGAAATAAAGAGGAAGATTGAGAAGCGAACCCGGATATTTGTGTCTCTATCATTACCAAGTACGGATGGATGCTTTTTCTCTAAGTGGGTTTTGAAAGTTCCATAACCACCTCCTTGTTTGAATGTCTATTGCTTGTTGCAGTAATTGCAAATCACGAGTAAAGACGTATTTTTCTAATGGAACTTTTAAGAAATGAATTTTGAAGATGTCGGATGATTTAGGTGTAAAATTTGATTGTTGTTGCTTGCTCCCCTGCTCGATTTTGATTGGCGGTATTACTTTATTGTGATGGCATATGTAAACTTGAACTTGCCATTTTTTGTAGTATAAAACAATAGAAATGTATAAATTTAAGAAATATTTGAAGTATAAAAAATATTATAGGATAGTATTGAGAATTCTAGACTTAAGAGTTTAAGAGATTGAGAGAGAATGAGAGATTGAGTTGTGAGAAGAATGAAAAAAATAAGAGTGAGAGGGTATTTATAGAAAAGAAAAAAAAAAAAGAAAACAATCACAAATGTTTGTGACCATTTTATAAATAGTCACTTTTTTTGTGACCGTTGAGTTGTGACAAACGATCACAAAAATGTGACCTTTTGTCACATACTTACTCTCTCTCTCTCTCTCTCTCTCTCTCTCTCTCTATATATATATATATATATATATGTATTAATATATTAAGTCCAAAAATTAAAAATTATTAGGCTTAATTTTTTTTTTGTTCATTTTTCGATCAAATAGCTACTCGTCCATCCCATATAAAATTGGTTTTTTAATTTAATTTTTTTTGTATTTTTTGACCCAATCCAAATTTATTAGAAAAAATGTGAAATCATCGATTCTACGATTAACCATCGGTTTAGAACCGTCGGTTTCGGTTTTATAATACCTTAAACCATAACCAACCAGTAGGTAGTCGGTTACGATCCGGTTTGATCAAGGTTACGGTTTTAACGGTTTCGAGTCGATTTTTAATGGTTTGATTTTGGTTCGATTTATGATTCGAACCGAACCGTTACCATGTTTACATTCTAGGTATATGGCTTCTTAGTAAAGATTTGAAAATTTTCTTCAATTTTTGATCATCATTTAAGTCATAAACACCCAAGATCTTTCTAAATTCATAAGGTGCTCCTCATTATCTCCTTGTTTCTCATTGAAAACTTTAAATTTAGGACTTACGATCCTTAAGATAAAGTCTCGTGGCACTATGGATTGAATGATGAAGTTTGAGATCAAACTCGCTAATAGATTTTAACGAGCTTTTATTTGAAGAATTTTTCTAAATCTTCATTAGCAAGATAATGATATTGATTATTAGAAGCAATAACATGGTGAAACAGATTAATAGTCCTACACAATTGTACAATAGATATTTGGTGGAAGGATGTCTTCTTTGTCATTCAATTGAATAAATGGTATTAAGCCATCTTTTACATTAATGGTTGGTGACATCATAGTTTGAGAGATAATGATTCGTGAGAGTTTATCTCGTAGGATATAGTTTGGTGATGCTATTTAGGGATAAAGTAAATATAGTATTGTTATCCTAGAGGACTTTAAAGACTTGTTGTTGTTATTTCTATAGTCTAAGTTGAGCATCCTAAAAAAATCTTTAGGACTTTAGTCATGCTCGAAGGCCTACATGTGTAACAAATGTACTAGGAATCCGAGTAATGGATTAAGATAAGTCGCCTCTTAATAGTGTTGGCAAGCTTCCATTGCAAACTTGGAGGTTTTGAGGATTGTTGCTATTATTAATGTTGAGTAAGTTGGTATTGTTAGTGTTGTTATTGGATTTAGATAGGGTACCGTCATTATTGTACGTGGTTGAGCTAATTGCATGATTTTTTTTTATTGTATTGGAAGGGGTTATTATTCTTTTACAATTACTAACTCCTTAGTGGATTTACCAAAACATGAGCGGAGGTTTTTAAAAAAGTTCAAACAACTAGTTGGTAGACTAGTCAAGACACGAAGAGCTATTTTTTTTTTTTTTATTTGTAGAAGCAACAATCAACTAATCAAACAAAATGAATGAAAATAGTAAAAGGCATAAGAGAAGGAACGGACACTAAGCAAGACACAAGTTGAGCGATAGAGAAGTGGATGATCAAAGTCCAACGAGATGGAATTTTAGATATTGTTTAGTGTGTGAGTGAAAGTGCTTTGAAAGAGAGTTCGAAGTTTTTTTTTTTTTTTTTTGAAGATCAAAAAGTTAGAATCCCTTCATAATGATGTGATGTTGGTATTTATAATGAATTAAAGGTGACATTTGATCGATAGTATTGTACACATCATCCATATTTGAATTACTAGATTTGTATTAAAAAATTAGATTCTTTTGAACTAAACTGCTTCAACTTATTAACAAAGGTTACAAAAAGTAATAATTAGATCTTCTTTTAACGAGATAATACTCTAAACTCACTTAACCAATCTCCTTAATGTATTCTAAAAGCAAGAAATAGACGCTCACCTTATTAGAATACTAGTGTCTATCCATACGTGGCCCAAAACGTTGTCCTAGGTGAGACCCATTGTTTAATCCGATCCATTTGTTGTGTAACTCATGTTATAACCAAGAAAAAAAAAAGGTTAGTACATAATAAAATTAATTAAATTCATAATCATTTTTTATGGATAAATTAAGCATATACATTAATTAAAAATTCAGCAATAAAATGTTTATATATATTTTTTAAATTACTTATGTAATATTAAAGGAAAAATATATTAAATGAAAAAAATGAAAAAAAAAAAACGCTACGGACTGGGGCAAATAGTCTTAATCCATGGAACCACACTTGATAAATTTAGAACATATATATAAAATCTAACAAATTCTTAAATGTAAATGATTGAGTCTTATGGGCAGTGAAGTAGCCCATGTTTAAAATAGTTAAGGTTTATAATTAAAAAAATATTTAATTCTCATAAATTAGATGTGACAATTTGAAAAAAGTATTAATCAAATAATTTAGTTGCTAATAATTTATCAATTTAGTTGAAAGACTTGGTTGGGAAAAAAAAAACAATTAGTAAGATAAAATTAAATTTCATGTGTTATCACAACAATTAACCTAGTCAGTTTTTTTTTTTTTTTTTTTTATGTAATTGAAAAATAATGTTTAACTCTCCTATGATAGACCTGAGAATTTTAAAAGCATCTTGATAATATATATTTAATAAATAAATTATTTATCAATTTAATGGGCGACCCCCTCCCCCCTTTTTTAGTGCAAAATCATTTTTTTTTTGAGTTTAGTTCTAATTAATTTAAATTTTAATTAATATTAATGTGCCTATTTGCTAGTTGCTGTCTAGAACACACAGGGTTTTGGCATTTCAAGTCTCTGCCTAGGACTCCCAATTCATCCTTAGCCTTGTACAAATTTCATTTTTTTAACCACTATAAATCTTGTATTTGGACTAGGGACTTTCATAATAAAATCAATTTTTTTTTTCAAAACTGTTACAACAATAATTCATAGTTCAAGCTCCAAATGCACCTAATTCATTATAATTTAGATCACAATGATAATGTCTAAGGGATTAGGGCATGAATCACATTGATAGTCCAGCTCTGTTTTCTTTTTCTTTTCTTTTTCCTCTTTTCCGGAAACTTTGGGCTGTGAAAATCACATTGCTCTTCTGGATCAATTTTGTGACCCATCTAGAATATTATTATGGTTGACTGGGAACTATGATGGATCAAATTTGGGTTTGAACAGACAAGTCAAGAACAAAAACCAAATGGGCCAACATCAAACAGGCCCATCATACTTTTAAAGCGAATGGAAAATTACAAGAACAGAGTAGCATGAGAAAAATACCAGAGAGATTTCTGTTCGAGAATAGATAAGCAGTGACAGCACAAAAATGGTAGGCGCCTCTTCCCTGCGGCCAATACTCCTCTCTTCTTTTGTAGGAGATCGTTTGATTCTATCAAAGCAGCCGCTTTCTCGTCTCTTTCTCTACAAACCAGGTTACTTTTCACGTTCTTCTATTTGTCTTACAACTAAGTTATTGTAATAAGTCTTATCTTTCTTTTGGCTGCACTCTTTATTTTATTTTTATTTTTACACTGTGTGGTGTTGGAACTGCAAATAATTTAATGCTTTCTTGAATTTATTCAATACCCAGTTGACGATTTTGACGGTTGGAGCAGTTGAATTCTAACTTTATGTTAATTAGCTTAAACTTGTTGATTTATGAAATGGATTGTTAGCTTGTGAAATAAAGATATAGAATTTCTTGTGAAGTTTTTAAGTTCCAATGGACTAAATTCAGTTTTTAACTCAATGGTTTTGTTTTCAGTTGACTGTTATTGCATGTTAGCTTGTTTCAGACCTTCTTGTTTGAAGCTTTTGGCATTTTTTAACTCACCAGTACAGTAATGTTTTTGTGTTTCAATTTTGACAACAGGAAACAAACATGTATCGATGCAATTATCCAGAAAACTTTCTGGCTTAACCAATCTTTTATTCAATAGAAGGTATGCCAGGAAAAAAAAAAGGCACACATCATATACCATCCTTCTATTCCTCGTTTTCTGGTTTACATGTCTGTAATGGACTTTCTTTTGGTTTATTGATATACTGCACTTCTGAAGTGAGCTACATTCTGCTTTTTCTATACGTTTCATGCAACATACGTGTACATATATACACACATGGTGTAAAATTCTTAGGGTGTAGGCATAAGTTGTGGTCTGTATATCATTTGAATTTAGATACCCTATAGATTGAAGGAACTTCGCTGCATCTTGGGCCATATTGATGCTTCTGGGATGGACCTGATGAAATAAGGAATTGCGCATCTTTTTACTTTTACAATATGCATATATAGATAGTCAGAGACAAACATTAACATACCAGAAGATGGATGGCACATCTAATATATTCATCTTTGAAATTAGCAGAAATCTAGATGAAGTGCCTAGTGTCCAGCAGAAACGTCTTAGGCCAGGGAAGTTGTCTCCTCCTCGTCCTGTTCCAGATTATATACCAAGGCCTCCCTATGTCAATTCTCAGCAACCACCTGGTATTGCAACTGGACCTGAAGTGCATGACAAGAAGGGGATAGAATGCATGAGAGCTTCTGGAAAGCTTGCCGCGCAGGTTCTTCAATATGCTGGGACTTTAGTCAAGGTAAAATGATTACCCTTTCTGACTAGTCAAAAGGATTGTTATCTCGTACTTTATATAAATTCATTAAGATGCATCATTACCCTTGTTATGCCACTAACAAAGTTTAGTGGCTAATTTATCTTGTTAAGAACTTCAGCCCATTATTTTTTTCATTGCCTTCATCTAATTTGGAGTAGTAGGATTGGTAGCTATGAGTTGGTAAGTTAGAGAGAAAATACAGATTGTGCATGCATTAAAAAGAAATGATCAGTTAGTTTATCTGATTTTAAAGTTCTAATTGTTGTTTTCTTTGGCAGCCAGGTATAAAAACAGATGAAATTGACCAAGCAGTTCACCAAATGATAATTGATAATGGAGCATATCCTTCACCACTTGGATATGGTGGGTTTCCTAAGAGTGTCTGCACATCAGTGAATGAGTGTATTTGCCATGGAATACCAGACTCACGTGCTCTTGAGGTCTTTCGGTTAAAGTTTTGGAATATAAATCTTTTTTATAGTTAAGCTGTTATCTGTTTGTATGAGTACAGCATTACTTAGCCATGCTTTTTTTTTTTTTTTTTTTTATAATTTTATTTGTTGCAGGATGGTGATATAATCAACATTGATGTTACAGTTTATCTAAATGTGAGTTTCTGAGTTTTTCATTTTTTCCAGTACATCTTTGAGTGAACAGATATCATCTCTTTGTAGTTTATAGGAAAACGGGAACTGGTTTTAGAAGAATAGATCATAGTTTGTCTGCAATTATTGCTCTTTTCATATTCTGTGGGTCTTCAATCTAGTGAACTGATTTTGATGTGCAGGGTTATCATGGTGATACTTCGGCAACTTTCTTCTGTGGAGATGTTGATGACGAAGCCAGAAAGTTGGTTCAGGTAACTTTTTGAAATGGTACACTTATGCGGCATCCATATTATTTCTATGGATGCCAGTCATAAAGTAATGAGCAATTTCTTGTTGTTAGTATTTTACTTTTGGAGTTAGGTACACTGCACATGACATTCCTAGTTTCAGAATCCTTTCCTTTTTCTCATTGCTAGTAAATAAGCATTTTTATTGGCCAAAAAGATAAATGGGGAAAGTTGTGACCATGTTCTACTGTGGGGATTACATTGCTAGCCTTGTATAGTGGACTGCCATCATCTTCTGAGACCTCTATAATATACTTGCAGTACTGAGCTAAAGATTGTGCTTTAAACTGAAGTTTAGGCTCTTCTAAAGCATGTGCAAGATTTGTAGCATGCTTGACAACCTGAAACAGTTCTGTCAAAACACATTCTTAGCTTCATTGTTAGTCTCGAAGTCTGTGTAACTAAATTAACAGCCACCTATTCAGCAAAGACACTAGATCTTTCTGTCTAGGTAAAACTTTTTATTACATTCATGTAAACCCTAATTACCAGTTATGTACAGTTCCAGACACTGGAGGTCACCATGCAATAGATTTTGTGTAGACACTAAACATTCTATCCTTTTCTGTTATACATAGAAATATACCATTGTTTTATACTGTAGACTGAGCTTTTGTTATGGAAGATGCATGCTCAACTTCTACAACTTAAAGACTAAATATAATCATCCCTATATGCTTGATGAAAGTAAACACCATCATTCAAAGTCCATCTGTGTTAGCCATGATTGGTTTCTACATACTTTCCTTTCAAAACTCCTGGGAAGTAAGGGCAACAATGGGAATTAGTATTTGTTTCTGTAGGAATTTTAATATTGTATGATTATTCTAGATTTTATTATATAGGAATATTAATATTTATTATTTAGTATTTAAATTAGGATTTTAGTTTCCTTATTGAATTAAGACTTACTAAGTTTTTCTATTTTGTTTGCTTTGGTGCATATAAATAAGCACCCAGACATTAGTTATTAGAGTGTATTGTTATGTATTGAAATAACAACTTTGAATATTCTCCAAGATTGAGTGTGTCTCTGTTGTGTCCTAAGATTGAGCGTGTATCTCTTGTTGGTAACTTTTGGTTTCTGTTCTAAATTAGCTTTCTTGTTGATCTTTTTCGTTGGTTCTACATCAAGTAGTCTCTTTTGAAGAATATTGTTTGACTTCTCGAATTTTTCTACGAAGCTTGTTCATTTTAGATATGCGTATGAGAGTGTTTGTCGATCATCCTGTAGGTGACCGAAGAATGCCTGTATAGAGCAATATCAATTTGTGCACCAGGAGTCGAGTACAGGAAAATTGGCAAAACAATACAGTAAGGCACCTGCTATAGCATTCTATTTGCTCATTTTCGCATTTTCCCCATCTTCTCTCCTGTAGAACTATGAGGTAGGAATGCAAGATTCCATTTAAAAAAAAAAAACATATATATTTCAGTATGTTTACCATTTCGATTTGTGCAATTCTCGCCCTTTGTTTTTTTTTTCTTTTTGAATACTGGTGAATTGGTAATGTTTATTGAGTAACAATTTTATCTACTTTCCGACAAGAACCTGAAAACTATATGTCCTACTAACTATTTGAGGAATTTAAAAATTTCTTCAATGCTTTTTTGACATTGGAGTAATCATTTGAACTCTTACTTTCCCTTGGCCATTGATATCGTTACATTGATGCCTGTAACAGCATCAACATTTTTTTAACTTGTATATGTGTGTCACCCAAAAAGACATGTGCACTCACATGACAAACATATACGTGCACACAAACAAACAAATTTTAGGTTTTGATTTGATATTCCCTCATGATTATGTTTTCTCAAGTGACCATGCAGATAAATATCGTTATGGTGTCGTCCAACAGTTTGTTGGCCATGGTGTTGGACGTGTATTCCATGCTGATCCAGTTGTTTTGCACTTCAGTATGCAACTTGACCTTGATACTCTCTTCTCTCTGTTATTTTATTTACATATTAGCTACCATCTTCTTAAATAGACACCGTGCTTGACTAAATTTTTGGTGAGGTTGCATTTGGTCAAATGTTTGAGTTGTCTTTGAGTTCTTGGGCAGCGTATCTGTTTATATTAGATCAAACAGTAATGGAAGCTTCCCCATTCTAGCCCTGGTGTTTGTGTCTATTCGGCAAAGGAACCCCTAGCCCTATGCTTTATTTATTTATTATTATTATTATTATTATTTTGCAATTTAGCCCAATAGGGTAAATTTGATGAAATCTTTTTCACAAGGGTTGTGATTTGCCAAATTGTCAAATGTGCTATTTTTTTTTTGGGGGGGGGGGGGGGGTTGGAGCTTGTTGTTGGGTGCAAATAGGAGATCAATAAAACAACCAACCCTCAAATCCAAACTAGTTGGGGTCAGCTGTATGGATCCTTTTGCACCATTTTGCTCGATCATATATCAAATCCTCCTATATCAAGAGATTTTAAAAGGAAAATGAGAATTTGGGTCTGGGAGTACTGAAAAAGGATGAGCAAGTGACACAATTTGATCGACTAGCTGCATTGAAGTTTGCTAAACATAAAAGAGCTGTAGGTTCTTGTGTGTGTGTGTGTGTGTGGTTTTTTTTTTTTTTTTTTTGAGGGCGGTGCAAACAGCACAACGATAAAACAAAGCCTCAAATCCAAACTACTTGGGGGTCAGCTATGAGGATCCTTTTGCAACATTCTGCTCAATCATATATCAATCTTCCTCATGTCAAGAAATTTTAAAAGGAAAATGAGAATTTGGGTTTGGGAGTACTGAAAAAGGATGAGCAAGTGACATGCACACGCACACAATTTGATCTGCCAGCTGCATTGAAGTTTGCTTAACATAAAAGAGCTGCAGGTTCTTGTGTTTTCTTATTGACCATGGAATGAGTGAAATTGCAATTTGTTTAGAACGCTGAAATTTAGTAAACATGAAAGGGCTATATGTGATATATGTGATAAGTGTTGTAAAGAACTAGTTTTGAGCCACTCTAATAATTTGGGACATCGTATACTGATATTAATGCAATTGCAGGTAGAAATACAAAAACATGTTCTATTAAACTGAGCTTAGCTACATTGTCTGCGTGACGCTCTTTTTCTCCCACATGCTGACATTGATGCAACCTTTTCCTTTGCCAAAAAACAATAGCAATAAGGTTAATGCTAACAATGTTATGTTCTATTCAGGAAACAATGATGCTGGACGCATGATGTTAAATCAGACCTTCACTATCGGTATTTACCTGTGAAATTTACCTCATGATCTTCATTAATTCTTAGGCCTGTGATATGCAATGTCCTGATGGATTAATATTTTCTAATCAAAGCAAAAGTGGTAATATTGCGGCTCCAAGGAATGGAGAATCTTATGAAAAATTGGAGGGATTAAAGCATTTGATAAGTTTTCTGTAGATAATAATCTTTTTTCTGGGGATGGGTTTGATCATTTATGGTATGAATAATGTTGTTGATTGCTTATCTTTTCTTACAACATCTTGATGTAAGTGTTATTCACTGGTTTGATTCTGTCCCTCCCGATGTTCAAATAAGTTGTGTTTTCTATTGTTTTCTCATGTTATGACTTCCATACCAATTCAGTCGATCTGGAATGGATTTATTAAACATCCACGCAAATGGATTTGTGCACATATCCATTAGATAAAAGATCATTCCAAATGACTCCATCGTAGCAACTGTTAGTCTCACATGTACAGATGGGGTCACTTGGAAGTTTAACTTCTGTTTCTTTTCTTGCGGGCTGTTGTAGATGGTAATGACTAAATGACCTCCATTCTAACACAGCTATTGCCATGGTGAATTTATGCAGAACCCATGTTGACAATTGGTAGCATTAACCCTGTTATGTGGGATGATAATTGGACAGTTGTAACTGAAGATGGAAGCCTATCAGCACAGTTTGAGCACACCATTCTGATTACAAAAGACGGGGCTGAGATATTGACCCAGTGTTAAATTGGACCTACAAGGTGCAGTTAGTACTCTCAAACCTTTCCACTTTGGAGTTTGCACAATCTAGATGTGATTATTTGCCTCTCCCAAATTAAAGTTTGGATGGGAGCAGGTACTTTTTTCTTTACTTCATCATTATTGATGGCTTGTTTTTCTCTCAATTCCCATAGGCTCATCTTCGATTGTATCAGTTAGAGTATTGTTGGCCATGCTTATTCAAGGGCCACTTCCTGATTACATAAATTTACAGTTTGTTGTAAACATGATAAGTTATACTGTACCAGAATGAGATGAGTTCCGAATTACTATCACTTTTTTGTGAACGAACATCGAATTTTAACAATTCCATTGGAAGATTATGAGGTGTTTCATGCGCATTTCATAATAAAATCCCCCAGTTTTTCCCTGTGTTTGTGTCAAGGATTCTGCATTTCATCTTATTTGGTGCGTGTCCCCGAACAGTATAAGATCAATATTATTCCATCGCTGAAAATGTCACTGGTGTTTGGGACTTAAATCAGCTAATGACTTGCAACTGAAAGTCTGAAACAGTCAAGTTAGGAAATCAATCCTAGGTGCATATTATTAGAAACCCAGAAGATGGGAAAAGGTTATTTTGAGCCGTTGAGAATTTAAACACTGCTTTCTCCATACCGAATTGAACTTCAACCACTGCTCATCTGTCAAACTTAGTCAATATAATACTACTACAACTCGATCAAGTTAGGAATGGATCATGCTTCAGCTTATTCATTAACAACGATCTTGATTTATGCCGAAGTCACATGCACTCATACTGAAATTGAATTCATCTGACCGTATTGTCTTTAATCTTTTTTGCAATGAAATTATCAAATACATCAAGTCATGTTTTATATAATGACCCACCGAAGAGCGTAGGGATGTCAAGTGTTTATTCTCCTCCCTACTGTAAATGTTGCTTTCAGTAAAGCTGGTTATCTTGACAAAAATATACGTATAGGGAAGAAAATACAGGTGTTGGGGCGCGGGGGTGGTGGTGGTGGTGGGGGTGTGGGTGGGTGGGAAGGGGTGGGGGGAGGAGAGAAAATCGATGCAAATGATGGCAATAGAGCCTTGGTCCCGTGGACCTAATCATTGATGCAAACATGGACTGGCAAATTATAGCACTTAATACCTGGATGTTGCTGTTGGTTGATTTCTACTTCATTCCAAATTAAACCCTCCTTACCATGAACTTCCCCAGAAACTTTGGCTAACGTTGAAGCATTGCTAGTTGGACAAGATCGAAAACAGTGGTTTCTTAATTTATCTTTGGTCCTTGGAGCTTTTCAAATAGTTCATTAACACTACAAAGTACTCTCCATTTAGGTTAAGCACAGCTTGCAAAGGTTTTGTACGTGTTTCCAAGTTATCGTAGTGAACGAAAACATGAGCAAACACACTCTTGCTAATGGAGTCGACCCATCAATGTATCGTGAAAGAATTACAGTTCTAAGCATTGATGTTCATATCAATGATTTGATAAATCCCTTTCCACATGCACGCACCAACACAATGGATTCTCCAGCTTCCACTAACAATTTCACAAGTGAAGGGAAAAAAAAAAAAAAAGGAGAAGAAGGATGAAACAATGCACACATTCTGTTTCTGCAATATGATAATGTTTACACATCTATAAGTAGAGATGATTGCAAGCATATTGTTTTTTCTCTTTCCTGATAGATAGAAGAATTTAAAACAGTGAAACTGATTCTATTGTAGGAACTGGATGGAGAACAGGTTCGAATTGCAGATTCCTTCAACGTGATTGCAGGAACCAGCACAGAAGGTCTAGTGACAGCACTGCTGACAGCTCCTGATGAATGCAAACGTCCTCTATACATGGCAAAAGAAATGGTTCCATTCTATCGAAAGCTTTCTCCAAAAATATGTCCTCAGTGCAAGTGTTAAGAAGAATGAAGAAGAAATTTAGTGACTGTTCATTTCTCTCGGTTTGTTACAACTAAACCTTATATACTCTCTAGCTAATATCCTCTGCATTTCATCTAACATACTCCTACAAAATCCATTACATTGGACTAAATAACTAACTATAAAATCATAAATATTCTCCCAATACTCCCCTTAAGTTGGTGGTTTACACGTGTCATAAACACCTAATTTGGGTGGAAGTCATTGATGATGTTTGCTACCAAGACACTTGGTGAAGATATATGTTGCTTGTTCTTTTATCTTGACTTGTGTAGTCTTGATCAATTCATCTTTAAGCTTTTCCTTGACTAAGTGACAATCAATCTTGATATATTTTGTTCTCTCATGGAAACTTGAGTTTGAAGCAATGTGTAATGCGGCTTTGTTGTCGTAGTTCATCTCTGCTCGCTTCCAAGCATGCAAATCCTAACTCCTTTAACAATCTAACAAGCCTCACCACTTCACATGTAGCCGAGTTCATAGCTCTATATTCAGTTTCAACTAATGATTGAGAAATAGTATTATGTTTCTTTATTTTCCAAGATAGAAGAGATGTATCAAGAAACGCATAAAAGCCGATTGAAGACTTCCTTGTCATAAGACAAGAAGCTCAATTAGAGTCACGAGTACATTTTAAGCTTTAGCTCAATGAGAAGTCTTTGGTCGATGCATAAATTGGCTTAGAATCCGTATAGCATAACATATGTTTGGCCTAGTAACGGTTTGGTAAATAAGCTTCCCTACCAGCCTTTGATATTCTTTAGGATCGGGTAGAATTGAATCTTGAATTTCAAGATTAATTGACTCATCCAACTATACTCGTAGGCAATTTCAAATTTTGCTCAAATGGCATCTCCATCGGTTTTGAACTAAGCGAGACCTCCATCATGTAACGACTCCATAGTGTACTTCTTTTGATTAACACATATCCCTTGCTTCGATCTTGCAATTTCTTTTGCCAAAAAAATATTTCAAACATCAAAAATCTTTAATATAGAAGGTCTTATGCAAAAAACCTTTCAGCTCATTTATAGCTTCTATGCCATTACCCGTAATTAGAATGTCATCTATATAAACCAACAAAAAAATCATCCTCTCATTCTTCCTTTTTAATGAACATAAAAAAAATCATGTTTACATTGAGAAAAGCTAGCAAGTATAATCTTTTTAGTAAATTTCGAATTCCATTGCTTTAAAGCTTGTTTCAAGTCATAAAGAGATTGAAGCAATCTACATACTAGACCCTCCTTTTGATTACTAAATCCAAGTGGTAAACTCATGTAAACCTCCTCATGAAGATCCCCTGCAAGAAAGCATTAGTAACATCCATCCGGTGTAATGACCAAGCATGCAACTAAAGCAACAATAGTCCCGACAGCTTATCATCTTGACTATTAAAGAAAATGTGTCACTACAATCAATGCCCTTTTATTGAGCATAACCCTTAGCCACTAACATGGCTTCGTATCTTTCCACACTCCCATCGAATGAAACTTCACTTTATAAATCCATTTATACCTTATAGCTATTTTTCCAACTAGTAAGGGTACTAAAGTCCATGTCCTATTGAACTCAAGAGCTTGGATTTTTTGTCTCATAGCATCTACCTATTTGGGGTTGTTAATAGCTTCTAGATAAGAGGTAGGCTCTTGAATAGTAGAGAGAAAAAAAAATGAGATGAGGAGATAGAATGATAAGAAAGGAATGCATTAACATAATATTTAGAGGCGGAAGATAAGGAAGTGTAGTTAGAAGTATGTAAGGTAGAACAATAAAATCTTTAGACTAAATGAGAGGCTAGGATATTCTAGCGGATCGCTTAAGAGGTATTATTATAGTAAGAGTTGAGGATGTATGAGGAGAAGAAAAAGAAGATTGTGTGCTATCGGTAGAGATGACGGGGAAGGAAGGGATATAGAGGAAAACTATTCGAAAGAAGAATAAGTTTGAAGAGTAAAAGAATGTATGGTATAAGTTGGAACAAAAGATAGGAAAAATAGATATATCATCATTATATATCCATTGAGTAACGATATTAGGAAGACTGGTGCCCCGAGATGAAAGTTGAGGAAGAAAAGAGGTATGATATGGAAATACGTTCTCATGAAACAAGACATCTCGGGGAAACAAAAATTTTCTCGATGGCTAAGTCCATAACTTTATATCCTTTTATGAATAAAGACACCCAAAAACAAAAAATGTTAGCATAGGTGCTTAAGGTCCAACCTATTTGGATGGTTTGATATATTATATTATTACATTTTCAATATCAATAAAGAAGTTTTTTTTATTAATTCTTGTTATTTATAATTTGATAAAATTAGATAGAAGTCCACATGATATATAATTAAATGTGGTTAGACTTGTAAGTGTTATGCTCATGCCATAAAATAATAGTAGGAGATCTCACATCTATTGCATGGTGATGCCAAAGCAAACACTTAGGTGAATTATATTAAAGAACATATCACCTGGACATGACTCGACATGATAACCCATTTGATTTAGTATATAGGAATTTCATACGAGGTGGGTATAAGTAGTCCTTTGACTTGAACTTATCATGGTTATCTCATTAGAGGATTGGTGTACTTTGATAGTCGTTTCGATGAAATCGATAAAGAGCTACATATGGGTGACTCATTGGATACATTAAGAATCTAATAGAAATAGGTGGATGACTAAGATATGACATGTCATTTTTTATATGCTAAAGAAGCTATCACATTACACTTTAATAAATGTCAAACGATCAAGAATATCAACAAAAAGTACAGAGTTAAAATCACTAAAGTACCTCAATGCTTCAAAAATGTTAAAGCAAGTTGTTTCTCCATCGAACTCCATTGTTAAAGTTCCTTTATGCATATTTATTTTTGTCCTTGCTGTTTTTAGGAGAGGTCTACCTAACAGCGAGGGTGTGGAAGTTGGTGACTTTCCACCCTTCATTCTTAAAATATAAAAGTTTGCTGAAAACACTAACTCGTTAACTCTGCACCATAACATTTTCAATTACCCTTTTGCAGTAGGCAATAGATCTATTCGAGGGTTGAATTATAACACTAGTTTCTTTTAAAGGCCTCAATTTCAAAGTTACATGAATGGAGTGTGGCATAACATTAATTGAGGATCCTACATCTAACATAGCTTTTTCAAATCTAGTGTTAGCTATTTCACAAGAGATGATGAATGTACCAAAATCTTTGCACTTTGAGGGAAGCTTTTTTTGAATGATTTCGATATATTCTCTCATACTCACTTTTTCGTTTGCCATCAACTTCCTTTTGAAAGTACATAGTTCCTTCAAGAATTTTTCATATCTAAGAACTTGCTTGATTACATCAATAAGAGGTGTGTTCACCTCAACCTTTCTAAAAATCTCTAATATTTCTTTATCTTTATCTTTTTTCTTCAATTTGTTAAATCTGTTTGGAAAATGACGTACGGAGTTCACTCAATCTTTATTCATAATAGTTGGAAAGTTTACCTTGGGATTGGTTAGAGGCACTTTAAGTTCCTTTTCTACTTCTTCTTGATCTTCTATTGGAGGAGCCTTAAGTTATGCCTCTAACTCTCTCCCACTTCATAATATCGCAACACTTGCTTTTTCTTTTTGGTTTACACATATTGATGGTTGGATCATGTTCAAATTTTGGGCTCCTAATCCACCTATAATGGTAGCAATTTGACTCATTTGAATCTCTAACTTCTAAATACTGGTTATTATTTCTTCGTTAGAATTACATGGTGTTATTTTAAAGTTATGCAATATTCTGAATTAGTACTTTCACCATGTCTTCCAAGGATGAATTAGAACCCAAAATGGGAGCTTTTTGCTCTTGGAATGGTGGTTGATAAGGCCTTTGTTGTGCATCCTATTGATTATTATGACGGATACTATCTCTCTATCTAGGATGGATATCATATTTTCTTTGTTGTGACCACCCTAAGAAATCACTTACCATATTGACTTGTTAAGTACAACCATCCTATAAGGTAGGACACATATCGGTGTATGCCCAACCGTCGAATAAATCTCATATGCTTGTCATTTGTTATACACTCGTTTACTATCATTTGCTTTACGAAAGATGTCAATTCTGCCATTTGTTACTCAAGTGTGGAGATACAATTTTCCTCTATTTTTTGGTAAGGTGGGTGATGATTTTGAAAATTGAACTACTAGGAGTTAACAATCATATTAACAATCAAGATTCTTAATTATTTTAGTGTTTTATCCGTCGGAGCACTCATGTGGTCGAGTCTATCATAGTCCTATCATGTAGGAGGAGTCCCTCATAGAAATATTAGATTAAGAGTTGCTCATTAAGTTGATGGTGAGGGTAACTAGCACATAGTTTCTTGAATCTCTCCCAATACCCATATAATATCTCATATGTGTATTGTTTAATCTCACATATCTCCTTAGGGATTTTTATAACTCGAGATGCGGGAAAATATTTCTCTAAAAATAATCTTTTCATTTCGATCTATGTTTTGAATGATCTGAATTGTAAATAGTAGAGCTAATTCTTGGCCAAGTCGGCCAATGAAAAGGGAAAAGCTCTCGACTTGATTTGGTCCTCGAATACCCTTACTTGGTTTTATGTTAAAGAAGACCACATAAAATTCTTTTAGATGCTTGTGAGGGTCTTCACTTGATAAACCATAAAAGTTAGGCAAGAGATGGATTAGACCATATTTTAGTTCAAAATCTACCTAATATTAAGATAATCAATACATACGGGTTGCACATTCGGATCTAGAACGACTAATTCTTTAAGAGAGCGATTGATGCTCATATCAACCATGATTCCTCTTCATTGTCACCAAAGGAAACAACGGTTAGAACACCATGAAATAGTTAATTTGAACTATCCTTCCCCAGATAATGGCATTAAAATTTGATTACGTATTGTACTCGCCATCAAATTAGTAATTTATATTATCCTTATAGAGTTTTTAATCACAATAGTGTA